TTATGTGGAGACTTTCCCCTCAGATAGTTAAATCCACCTCTCTCAAAAAGTAAAAGCTGGGCCTCCCCAGTGGTGCAGCAGTTGAGTGCCGGGCTGCGAAGCTGCCCGCAGCCTCTGCAGCGCCTGTTCAATCCCCGCTGCTCCCCTCAGCAGTGTATTTTGTCAGTCTGCCTGTTCTATTCCCCACTCTGGCTCTGGTGAATTCTCTCACCCTCCTGTGCTTCTGACTGTACCCAGTGCTTGCATAAATAAATAAATAAATCTTTTAAAAAAAAAAAAGCAAAAGCCATACACATTTCCTTTAACTGAGTTAAAATGGTTCTAAATTCAAATGCAAGAATCAAAGAAGTATAAAAAAATGTTTTTAAACTTTAATCAGTAGAGGCAGAATAAAACTACTGTCCTCCCTTCTGCTTGGAAGGCTGGCTATCTCGTTAAAAGCAGAACCTCTACCACATGTCATTCTATTACTCTACTTTATCATCTTCGTGGCACACATCAACTGAGTTGATGTGTTTATTGTTTTTCTCTTCCCTCTCACCACAGAATGTTAGTTCCAAGGGACTATCTTATCTTCTGCTGTCTCCCCAGTGCCTGGGTCAGTGTCTACACACAGCAGGTGCTGACTGAGTAATCCTCCAGGCATTCTCTCCCTATACCTGTGCCTTAAAGGATCCTACTTGTCCTTTCAGACTCACCTCAAATGTTGCGTCCTCAGTAGGAAGTTAGTGTTCTCATCACCATTGCCTAAGGTTCAGGTCAACAAAGTTTCCAAGCACTTCCGTGGAACAAGTATGTGCTAGACAGTGGGGTCAAGCAACCTACAGGACAGTTACAGTCCCTGTGCATTTACAATCAAATGGACATATACAAACTAAAGGGGTTTGTTCGTGTTTTTGAACTGCTATGGTAATTAGACTGTAAATTAACGTGATAATGAATCATGATGTGCCTTGTAACATCTCTCCTATTGTATCAAACTATAATTTGGTAGCTGTCACCCAGGGATGCTGGCTCCAAGCTGAGTGTGCTAGGCTGTGCCTGCCCCCTCGGTCAGCCTTTACCTGCTCTTCTGTGGCTCCTCCACATGTAAGGCATGGAAAGTGAAAGGTTACAGGCCAAGAATTCTATCCTTTTCCCACTGTTCTCTACATGAAAGAAATTTACATGGGGCTCCTTCTAAGAAATTCAAAGTTTGGGAAAGTTAAAGGTGTTTTGGAGAGTCTAATGTCTTTAAATAAGCTGTAGTTGTATGCCCAATGATTAAATTAAATGATGAAAACTGCTTTGCAAAGTACTTTATACATATGTATAGCATAATTTCTGTGTTATTTAATTTTTTTGAAGGTCTAAGCACTTGCTACCAGATGAGAACATAAATTCTGAGGGAGGATAAAAAAGAGAATATAAATTTTTGAGGGTAGGAATCAAATTTTACATTTCTTTTTTTTCTCTGATGATGCCTGATCAAAGAGTTTTTGTTAACAGATAAGATTTCGGAGAACCACTACAGATGCTTAGTTCTAGACTTGTAACTCTGCCTTTTGGAAATAAAATTCCTTATTCTGAAAATGATCAATACTTGCTCTGGATTTTTAATGACAGAAAAACTTTTAAGTAATTCTATGGAAGACAGGTTTTTTACTGCCATTAAAAAGAAGACTGTTTTTATTCTAAAACCAGAAAGAAAACAAAGCCATGCACCTAAGTTTTATTCTCTAGAAATAGAGCTAAAGCAGAAATTCATAGATTAAAAATTTAAGCACAACAAGCATGGAATGATATTAAATCTTGTAATTCCTGTAACTAAAGTTTATCTCTTATGTCCAGGGAATACATATTCTCTTGAAAAGAGCATAATAAGGGCTTTCCTAATAGCTAGATTTTACAGTATTAAATATTAAATGTAAATTGCCACATTACTTTATTCACAAAGAAAAATAAATTAATGTAAAAACAACACCCCAGAACAACTTAATTGTCATCTACATCTGAACAGGACACATAATCTTTTCATCAAAACCACTTAGGTAAATGTTGGCTTAATGAAAACATGAATTCCTTAAATTTCCTAATCTGAAGTTTCATTAATTCCATGTTAATTTGCTACTGGGATTTGCACAAACATATGATTTTAAAGATAAGTAACTTAAGACCAATCATTTTATTTAAAAACTCTTCCCCCCTCATTTTTTCACACATTAATAGTTTTTCTTTATTGATATTAATAATAAGTCATCAAAAAAGACCACTGAAAAGATCAGGGATTCGAAGGTTACCTTTAGCTTTTAGAATAAAAAATGGATGTCATTACTTCTCTGACCTTATCCTGTTAGAGGCATCCAACCTACCTCTCCCGATGAGTCATACTCTAGACCTGGAAGCACTGCCTCTATGTTAAAAGAAGACCTGTCAGGTGAGAATGGGAATCGTACCTCATTATGTGTGAGAAGGGAAGCTCAGGCAGTGATTGAAGAACTGAGTAATGATGTAGGGAAAAATGCATGAACAAAGACCATAGATAACATAGCAGGGCACAAAACTAGAGGCGCTCATTTATCCTTTGCTTTGCTCTGAAAATAAATAATGAAAATGCAGGCTTTGGGTTAATGGGCTTAAAAATCTTGCCAAAGTATATATGTTAACACACAGAGTGCCCAAGGCTGGCTGCCTGTACCCCAACAAGTCTGTAATTATACACCAGCAGGCAGAGATTCTTATTATGACTACATGGATTTGTTTTAACTATTATCAAAGAAAAGTGTTTTCAAATTTCCCAATCCAAGTATGTCAGTAGGGTTTCTAATTTTAACCATCACTGACCACTGCTTTTTACACATGGCTTCTTAATGCAAAAAAGGTAAAAGCCATTTAGACGTTTCTTAAACTAAATCAAAATGGTCCTAAATTCTAAATCAAGAGCCAAGGCAGCCTACGGGGGAAAAAAAATTAACCTTTGGTAAGAATAAAATTCAAACAAAAAGAGGGTCTTCTTTTATCTGCCCTGATCAATTATCCAAAGAGCCCTACAATGACATTTGTGGTAGGTTGAATAATAGCTCCCAATGACATCCATGTCCTAATCCACTGAGTTTGTGAAAGTTACCTTTCTGGTAAAAGGGACTTTTGTGGACATGATTAAGTTAAGGATCTTGAGATGGGGAAATCATCCAGGATGACCCAGGAGGGCCCAATGAAACCACAAGGGTCCTTATAAAAGAAAGGAGGAGGATCAGATGAAGAGTAGGAGCTGCGACAAGGGAAGCCAAGAGGTGAGGTGATGTGAGAGAGACCTGAGCGAAGGAATGGGGGAGGAGGGTCTAGAAGCTGAAAAAGACAAGGAAATTGATTCTTCAGAGGCTCTAGGAGGAAACAGTCCTGCCAAAACCTTAACTTTGGTCCTATAAGACTCATTTTTAATTTCTGACCTCCAGAGCTAGGTAAGAGAAGAAATTTATGTTGTTTCAATTCACTAATTTGTTACAGCAACAAAGGAAATTAACACAACATTGTCTTATAATTTTAAGGACTGTAAAGCTTAAGAGGTGGGATTACCATGAATTTAAGTGAGGCTCCAACAAATAATTATAAAAGAGCTTGATAATGCCATGCCTTTCCATGGAACCCACTGCTGTGAGACCTGCCAGTGCCTAGAGAGCTTTGGAGCATATAAAACAGATGCAGGGCAATGGAAAAACAGGATTTTATGTAAGATAAAGCACCTAATTCATGTCCACTAGAAATTAAGCAAGAGCAGGACTTGGAGCTTACAACTGCAAAAAAATCTAAACAAGAGTATGCAGCTATCAGGCTAATTTAGATAAAAAAAAAAAAAAAGGCAGATGATGTTCCAAGGATGTAAAAGCAGAACCCAGAAAGTGAGCAGACTTATCGGCACAAAAGAAACTTTCAGAAGAATCACCTACCTCTAATGATACATATAGGAACCCACACCCAGAATATGGTGCAAAACTGCACTCTCAACTCCCGCCTGATTCAGGAGGGAAACTTTAGACTTGTCTTTCACCTCGGCTTTCCAAGGCAACTGTATTCTAGCTGCTGTATCTCCTTTTCTACATGAGACTCTCTCTGCTTCTCTTTATCTGGGAGATGGGCCCACAGGCAATACTGAAAACTGTCAGAAAACAAAAACGGTTTATTTTCAAATCTATAAAGACTGCAGTCACTTTCTTCCATCAATAGGTGGTGAGCTTGTGTTGGCTAGGCAAATGCTATCGTTCAGTAAATATGAGGCAGTAAAAAGTGTTTTAGGCACAGTCAGGTGAGCAGAGGAGCAAAATCTGAGGGGACAAAGAGATGGATTCCCTGTAACCCCTGAAAGAGCTGCTCCTCCTAATTATCAAACTGGAATCTACAGCATAAGCATGTTTTGTGTCAACAGGGTCAAAAATAAAACTTTAGCGAAGCTGAGAGTGTACACACAAGTTTAGCAATTTCTTTACTATTTTTTCTACATTTTATTTCTTATGATTTAAAAGGAACCTGTCAACCAAAATAACAGAATTCAAAACATCAGCTTTTCCTTCTTCCCCCATAGCCTAGCTCCATCTCACGCTACATGAACATAAATGCATTTTGAAGGTTTAGCAATTTTCTTTCTTTTTTTTTTTTAGATTGATTGATTGATTGATTGATATAAACACTGGGTACAGTCAGAAGTGCGGGAGGGCGAGAGAATTCACCACAGACAGAGCAGGGAACAGAACAGGCAGACTGACGAAACACACTGCTGAGGGGAGCAGCGGGCGTGGCAGAAGAGGTCTGCGTGTCCCGGGATTGAACTGGCACTGCAGAGGCTGCAGGCAGCTTCACAGCCCAGCGCTCAACTGCTCTGCCACCAGGGGAGGCCCAGGTTTAGCAATTTTCAAGCCACATACTCAAAATTCTTTACTTCCCTCTGAATAGATGGAAACAATTTCTTAAGAACCTGAAGGAGAAGCTACTTTGTTCCTATTTCACATCCTCAACATGCTTCTCACCTGCTATTTTGATATTCAGATTGGCATCCAGAAGCAAATTTTCAGCTTTTAGATCACGATGAACAATATTCCGACAGTGACAAAAATAGACAGCTGTGACGATCTGTTTAAACTTCCGACGGGCATCCTTCTCTGCCATCCTACCATGAGCCACCAGGTGGTCTGTGTGAAGAGGAATACAGTCAGTTCTCACTTTAGATACTGGTATAATTTCAAAGGGTAGATTTAAGAAGGGATGGAAGGGACCCTCCCAATGAATGAGTTAACTGAATCAAAAAGAAGGAAAGCAATACATGTACAGTCCAGGCTTATATCTATAAAAATGTATTAGCAACCACTCCCCAAACTATTTTAAGTATAAATCCTGTTACACATCAATATGCATAGAATACACTGTCCTTCTATAAGAGTTCTGAAGAATGTAGATATTTTCCCCAGATCATAATACTCAGCACCTTTCTTTTCATATCCCCATTGCAAAAGATTATACACACAGCAAGTATACACATGAAGATAAGTATCAGCAATAGTTCCTGCGCTAAAGGGTAAGACCAAAAAGCAGAATTACAATAATCGATCATTTTAGGAAAGAGACAGAAATTAGTCATTGCTAAAGGGGGAAAAACAGACTCTGTTTAGGCTAGTATCTCTTCTGCTTTCTCAAAGTTTTACAATTTTACACAAAAATGTACTTATTTGGTGACCATTCTCTGGAATGCATAATAACATGCCTGCATCTTTACATCTGCATCTATTGTGTTTAACAAATATTTTTTTTACATTGTTACTCCTTTTTATAGATAACATCAATAGAAAACCAACTAAAGTTTCTACCACTTCAAATGAAACAGTTTCATGGGTTAAGTTGCTAACTAAAGTATAGCAAAAGAATTCACATGTGATAAATTTTGTAATACTATAAATCAGGCTGTTTTGTACATTTAAAATTGGCTGACCCCATAACCAATACCATCAGAACTTTAAGTACTTTTTCTACACTCAACCAATGGCATGTCTATCCTTAATCTAGTTCTTTATCTAACCAACAACACAGACAAGTCATGACAGCAGACAGCATGAGAAATGGTAGCTATGATACACTTTGCTCTACTTAAGCAAATTTCAATCATCTTATCAACACAATCCTTTATTAAACCAATGAATTCAACTGGAGAAAGGACATATTTGGCATCAAAAGCTTCCAGAGAGTGAGAAAGTAAAACATTAATGATATAAATAAACGGTACTGTTGTTGTTAAGCCACAGCAGTTTCAGCAACACCAGTAGTTTGGGCGCCACCTCACTCACTCATGGGAACAGTCAAGCGTATCTTTTCTTCATCATAAAGAGGAAGTTTGGAATAAAACATATGCACTCACAACGACTACCAATATAGAGAGCTTAGAACAAGAAGTGTGGGGTGGAGGGAGCTAAATGACTATCTACATAGCAGGTTTTCAAATAATTCAAATTAACATTCTCACCACAAAGAACATCAAATTACTATGGTAATTTTCAAGACAGGATCTTCTAAGTAGATCATTTAAAGGCCCCTCACAGAAATTGTTATAACTGTTAGGGTTATCAATGATCCACACACAAGATCTTGGAAGCATTTCCCTCAAAACTGGTCAAGAATATCCATTTAGTAGGCAAAAAGAAAAATTAAGAAGTCTTCAGCTTAGAAGTTAAAAGGACTCAGAAACAACTTCCTACAGGAGCTAGAGGGGTGATAAATGAGATCACACTCTGGTGTGTTGAGGCATCTGGTGTGATCTGTCACACGAACTTTAAACAACACAAAGTCCCTAAACTTGGGGTAGTAACTTAATATAAGCTGCGACAGAGCTGGACAGCCATCAGCTGCAGAACGCTATGTTTTATTTCAAGGGGGCATTCTCTAACAGGACCTGCTCCTTTGACCCCCTATGTCTCTTAACCCAAGGTCTAATTATTCTAATAATATGTTTTAGCTGCTAAACTTTGTCTAATTAAAAAGCTTTGAAGAGCTAGCTATTCTTGAGAAACATAAAAATAAACCCTCATGAAGGTTTACCATCAGAAGCTCATTTGGCCAAGTCACCCATTAATTAAAATGCTCAAGAGACATTCGTCTGGCAGTAAATACTAATTAGCAGAACACATCAAAGAACTTCTTAAATACAATAGAATGATTAATTTTGTGATTTCCAAAATAAGTGATTTTCTTTTATTAAAAAAAAACTCTATATTTTCTAAGTACTTTGTTTTCCTAAAATGATTGGAAAGTTCTCAAAATTGTTGCACAAATCGGGAGCTGGTGGAATGCGACTTAGTTCTGCTTTATCTCTGTAACGACATGTTGGATGTCCTTAGACAAATCATTTATACTGCCAGTATCCCCACCTCTTGGTCTGCTAACTAGAAATAAACTGCTGCATGCTCTAGCCAAACAAAGGTTAGCATATTTGGTAATAAACTGGTTCTCTGATCAAGAGTTATCATATATGGCATAACCTTAACTTTCAAACACATTAAAAGCTATTTTTAAAAGGTCCGTTCAACTCTATATACTGATAATTTAAGCATTTGATTATTAATAGACAAGTTCTTCAGGATTCCACAGTACTTGAAGGTGATTATTATATATCTCAATTGTCACTGTTACCTGGTTCTGCTTAAAAGGTATCTGAATTGTCTAGTGATGTCTATAGTATCCCTACAGTTGAGAATATAAAGATATGCAAATCATGCCTTCAAAAACAGTGTAAATACAAGCATCAGATGTTTTCACCTAGCCATTGTGTTTCACACTCAAGTATTCTTGAACATTTCCACATACCAGATCATTTTGATGACTTAATGTCATTCGGACTTTAGCTTCTGCTTTTTTGGGGTTTTGTGTGTTGTTGTTTTTTTTTTTTTTTTTGCCCATCTTATTACCACCCTCACCCCCACCCTCCAAACTCCTCTCCCGTTGGTTTGCTTTCAGTGTAAACCTCCGGGGTCTAGTGGGTGTGCCAGGAAGCCAGCAGCCTACAGCGGTTTCCAGACCTTGCTGAAATTGCCTTTCCTCTGCCTGCTGACAAACGGCTGCTTTATGTTGCTGTGTACTCTATAGGCAGGCAGCAAAAATTCCTCAAGTTCAAATGTGATATTTAACTTTGGGCTAAGAAACCCCGAGCATTTGCCATGCCTGGATTTAAAAACAAAGTTGCAACTTTTGAATAAATACTGGTCTACTTTTAGAAGGAAAATGAAACAAAATGGCTCCTGGACCACATTCAAAGTAAAATATATTCCCAATCTTGCCAGATAAACCTCAGTTGCAAAGAACTCTATGGTTGTTCTGCTTCTTCCAGGAAATGCAACAAGCTTGCTCTCCCAAACACTGGGTGAAATACACCCACATCTTCAGTCCCAGTCACCCCACCTGCAGCCAAGACCCCCTGGAGCCTGAGCAATCTTCAATCACACCCTTGTTGCATGAACTCCATCACCGTAAGTCCTTACTCACCAACAGTGAACTACTTCCCCATTTAGTTACCACAATAGGTCAAGGGGAAATTTAAAGTTTTTCTCTATTACAACTTCACTCAAACTATTTCAACACAGACAAGGGTTAGGTGATTCTCAGTTAAAAGGAGCAAATGGTTCTCCTGTTTCAAACTCTTATCAAAGTAATAAGGAGTCTAAGGGCTCTTTCTCACTTTCTAATCGCAGTAAGTCACTTGGCACTGAATTTCTTTCATCTTTTTTATCTGCTCTTCCTCACAAAATAAAATGAGTGAGGTAGAGGGAACAAATTCTCAAGTTACATAAGTATTGGAGCACTAGCATGTATAATTTGCTTCAGATTCACTTTTTGTAATGTTCCAATCTGACTCAGGGAGAAATATTTTGTGGTACATTTAGGTTCTAACCTTTCAAAGCACAAAAATACACGCTAGGTCTTAACTTCGCTCAACCAGCCTGACTGGAGTGTCAGAGGCATGCCACTAATGGGATAGTGGTGGGGAGCCAACATTTCTTAAAATAAGAAATTTTCCCAGTATAAACAGATAGTGTCTCCATTTGTCTGCTAAGTCTACGACTCATAACTGATCCAGAACACTAGCTCAAACTGAACATACCCCGACAGCAGGTCAAGCAACAGGGCAGAAACTTTTTGTTCTTCGTGATGAAGAAACTGGCCAGTCTAGAATGAGGAAAAGGCAGCGATGTGCTAATCTTAGGGAGCTACCTGAAAAATTTTCTGTCAATTCCAAGCTAACCACAGTTAGCAGTTGTTTTGCTTCGCCACTCAGATCTATCATTTCTTCTTCACGCCCATGGAAACAACTTCCTGTTTATCAAACAAACGCTTCCTTCCAAAAGAGCCAGGGCAAAGCCAAGATAACTCAGCTGCCCTGGAGCAGGGTGACACGGGTCCACGGGCATGCACTTGAATATCACACTGTCCCTGAGCCCACAGCTCCCAAGCTGCCCCGGGTGAGAGGAAGAGGCTTTGCTATTTGGTTTTCCTTGCCAAGAATCCAACCTCACCGAAGGTTTCTTTACTTGTTGCTGCTTCTTATCACTAACACTTTTCTTCATTCTTTTAGTTGTCCTGGCCAAAAGCCCTCGGGTCATCTTTTGATTCTCTCTCTCTCTCTCACACACCCCATCAATAATCCATAGGCAAATTTTATTAATTCTACCTTCCAAATATATCTAGAATTCAGTTATTCCTCCCCCCTACCTCTACCCTACCCTAGATCCACCAACCTAGTCCAACAGCCATTATCTCCCTCCTGGATTATCATAACAGTCTCCTAATATTACTCCAAACTACTATCCCTGATTCTGTCCATGGCCCTCTGCAATCTGTTCTCAGCACCCGAAGTAAGTCCTTATTTTTCAACTTTATATTTTGAAAGATAAGATGCACAGGATAGATGCACAGAAAGTTGCAAAGACAGTAAAGAGAGACTCCATGTACCCTTTACCCAGTTTCCCCCAAAGATTAAATTTTATGATTATAAAAGAATATCAGAGTCTAGAATTTGACATGGTATCATGTGTATACAGATCTATGTCATTTTATTACATGTGTAGATTTGTGGAATGACCATGGCAATCAAGATAAAGAACTAATTGTAGTTACTCATTTCTAAATATTCCCACAGATATAAAAACAGAAA